GTCATGACCCGGTGGTTTGCAGAAAGTCCTGCTTTTGTTGGAAATAATGATGTTGGAAATGCTTTGGGCTGAAGACGTGGAAATTGCAGGTCTAGTGAGTCTAGTAGACCAAACGATCTGACAGTTCAAATTGTACAGGAAAAAAGGACAAAGTTGTTGGTTCGCACAGAGTTCACCTTGGTTCCGCGTTAAGGTTGACCACCTGTAGTACAATCCTGGCCAGTTCTTCCGGCTTTTCATGACAGCCAGGCGACGATGAACTTGCTACGGTGGCTGTTCGAAGCAGAGGCCACAGAGACGAAAAGTGGATCTGGGTGACGAGATTTTGCTGGATGGATGAAGACGTCCATCTCCAGTTTCAACAGGGAGTGGGGCATCTTGAGGCGTTTGATCACCCGGAGCTCATGATCATGATCAAGGAGCCACAGGCGAGCGGCGGGGGCGGGTTAAGTGAGGCCATGAAGGGACCTTGCTTCGCCAGCCGGTTGAGTAAGGCAATGAAGGCTGAATAATGTAGAGTAGATCTGGTTTGAGTGTCATTGAATAAAATTGCATGAAATTGTTCATTTGGGCCCCTGTCGCATCCTGTCGCTGCTATTTATCAGACGAGAGATAACGGGAGTCTACACTTCCCGAATGTCAACAGCATCCTCTTCCAAAGGCACTAATTATTTTGCCCTGGGGGTTGCAAGAATGTTCAGAAAATGGGATTAGGCTTAAGGCTTAAGACTGAAACAGTCCCTGACTGGCCATGCTGACATGTGTGGTGCTTGCTTGTTCAGCTTTTTGTGCAACTGTCAGAGGCTGCGCGGTCAAGTGTGTGTGATCATGACAGTCAAGTGCTGGTCATCGCCACGGTGAAGTGCAGCGGGATGCGTCGGTATGAGTTGGTGCAAAATTGCCAGCACGTCAAATCATTGCGAAAGGGTCAAATCAACAGTGTGCAGACGGCGTCAAAGAAAGCGTGTGTCCAGCTAGAGATACAAATTCTTATTATGTGATGCTGATTGATTCCTGCAGCACTGAGTTGTATGGTGCTGAGCCTTTTTGTGATGTTAAAAACGTCCAGCAGAGATGATAGTGAGGTTCCTAGTGGTTGCATGCATGGTTTGGCTTTTGGGCAACATGAACTCGAGAAGAGTTGCTGCAAGAGCCAGTATCGCAGAATGACCTCGCTGATTGCTTTGGGGCTCATTAGTTAGTCGGCTGGTGCCGTTGTGCAAAGTCTTTTTTGCATCCCAAAGGCACACGCAGGGTGGGCACTGGTGGTGTGGTTTGGGTGGCCGGTTGCAGAGCTGAAGACAAGTACTTCTTCTGGCACCAATGGGTTGGTTGGTTGATTAGTAGGTTGGTTCGTTCGTTCGTTGGTTGGTTGCATTTTCAGGAAGAAGAAGGAGAAGAACAATGATATCAGACCAATCCCTCAGAAGCTTTCATTGTCCGTCCCATGCGGATTCAGGCCATATTGTTTGCCCACCTGATAAGTGGGTTTGAAGGATAGAACTTATGGTTTCGGCTTGAGTATACCCTTGGTGTCAGATAATGTGGCAATGAAAAATGAACCCTGGGACACCAATCTGAATAACCTACTGTAATGAAAAAGGTTGTTGTCAAGATCGTTGCCAGCGTTCAGTCAGTCAGCCAGCCAGTCAGTCTGTCACATTCCTCTCTCTCTCTCTCCCTCCCTCCCTCTCCCTCCCTCTCCCTCTCTCCCTCCCTCTTCCTCTCTCTCTCTCTCTCCCCAGCATTCCAAGCAACAACACTTTCTTGTACGTATCGTTTGGTTTGACAAATCAGTTGTCACGCTTGGAAGGGTCGCGCTTCAGAATGTCACAGTTTCTTGAAAAGTGATCCGATGTGACCTCCTGCATAGCTTATATAGCATAATATGAATATGTTTATATAAATAAATAGTCTCAGAGTCCTCGAAAGGCGGTCATGGAAGCATTGTGAAAACCTCTTGAACGTTATGACCAAAGTAGTCGAAGGCGTAAGGCTGTGTGTGTGTTTCACGTTACCCATGCTAGGGCCTAGGGATGGCAATGGTTCTCTAGAGCTGCGTGCCAGCTCTTCTCAACAAATGATATTGTTTGTCATGTTTCTGCAGTGAGCTTGACAGATGGTGTCCACTTTTTTGACAAACTGTGGATTCAATCAAGAGAATGATTGTGTTTTGCTTGCATGCTCAAGCTAAGGGCGCTATATGATCTATATGAGCCTGCAGCCCAGCCACGAAAAGTTATTCTCCGCTGGAAGCGATTCAAACAGGGCTTTTGAACCCACGAGTTTGTGTCATTGTTTGCGGCAAAGGCAAGTGATATCATCATGGATCAAATTTGGCTTTAGCTTGAAGGCTTCAATGTATGAATCTCCAGCTTGATTTATGTGCACTGGACTCGCAAGCAGGCCCCACCAAAGGGATCATTTGCGCTGTTCCAACCGAGGAATTGATACAAAGAATGCTCAGCGCAGAAGCCATGGTGTGTTTCCAGGCGCTCAAGAGATCTGAATCTGAAAGTGCGAATGTCCTTCTGCGTTTGTTGTATCTCATTCTTTGCATCGGACAGCGCCCGCCAGGATGGAAGTTGGCCTCACATTTCGCGGTCTTTAAAATACTAAACACAACGATCCGATGTACAAAGTTTTCGTCATGCACTTCGAACTGTCAAATCCAGCCGTTCCGCCCAACAAGACCCAGCTGTTTCGTCTCAAGTCTTCCAGCGCCCGACCTGTCATCCATGGCTAAAAGTCGTTGTGCTCAGCGGGTGTTGGTGGCCATCGTTGTCCTCTTCCGTTGGCAGGTTGACTTTGTGGAGTCTCCTTTCCCTCTTCGTCCAAGCCATCGCTTGAAACACGCTTTGTTTTGGGGCAAGAAGAAGTCACAGGAGCCTCCCAAGGCTTGCCAAGACATCTATGACATGGACACTCGTGCAGTGTGTAGCTGGCTTAGAGCTTTGGGCCCGAAGTTTGAACAATATGTGCCTCGATTTGAAGACGAAGACGTGGATGGGCTTTTGCTAAGCACCCTGACCGATGACAATCTCCAGAATCTGGACGTTGATCAAGAAATACATCGCAAGAAGATCTTGGTCCATCGTGATGCTTTGGTGAAACATGGCTATGACATAACGGGCCAAAGACAAGAACTGCCTTTGGATCGCCTTCGTGAGAGGGTCAATGTCGCCAGGCCAAGGGTTGAACACCAGCAGCTTACAGACCACATCTTCGATTCAATGAGAAAAGAAGGGATTTCATTGGGAGTTTCCGAGCAGGCTTTCATCACAAGTATGGACGATCTCCTTTCCGAGCTCCTGGAGGAAGGTGTGTATATGGAAGCTCTTGACACCATCAACCATTATGTTTGGAGTTGGACAGCTTCTGTCGAGCAGGCTGGTATCAGGGAAGATGTCCAGGCAGACCTTGAGCAGATCGCAGCAGGGAAGGATGCTCATCGACAAAGGATTGTTGCCACCCAACAAAACATCAAGCTGCTTGCAATGTCACTGGACCGCTATTGCCGGTCGACGAAGAAAGACAGGTTGACTGACAAAGAAAAAGACCAGGCCAGGTTGGAGATGGAAGAGAATCTTCAGACTTGGCTACAAAACATGCAGGAGCTGGCAGGAAAAGCAAGCTTTTCCCGTGGTGGGTTGTTGGAACGTGCTTCTGCTCGCTTGCGCATGCAGCTGAAGGAAGTGCAGCTGTGCAAGCCAACATAGATGCGCTCTCCAAGTTGACAGAGGAGACACAGGACGCCGCGGAGAAGTGCAGGCGAATTTATAGGTTGGATGAAGCCGATGTGAAGCTAGCCCTTGAAGCACGGAAAAACGGTGGGTTGGAAGACAGGATCAATCGGGTGTCTTGGCAGCAGTTGGTTTCAACCGGATTATGATGCCCCTAGTTCACGTTTGTTGTGTTATGTGTTAAATTATGTGTTAGATTAGTGAGCAATCATGAGGAACAGGAAGAGCTTGACCGAGTCAAAGAGCGGCGAGACAATCTTACCGAGCAGAGGTTGAAAAGAGAGAAGCAGAAAGAGCAATATCTAGAGTTGAAGGCTGAACAGCGGAATGATACGAAGTCCATGCGTAATTGGCATATCAAAAGGTGGTGGGGGTGGAGGTGGAAACCAGAGATGGAGAGTTACGAAGCCCAAGTGAATCGGTCTGATGCTTTGTGGGACGCTGATGTTCAGGAAATCAATCAGGAACTGGAAAAGATAGAGGATGAGCTTCAGGATCTCAAAGACCAGGAGGAACGGCTCAACGAAAACATTGCAGATCTTAAAAAGAAGAATACGGGAGACTTTTGGGAAGATGTTCTTGAAGGTGTAGGACTGATATCAGCCGAATCCGAAGTGAAGGACAACGTTGAGAGGGTGAAAATGATAAGAACAGAACTGCTGCAAGCGGTGAAGGAGACGGGAATTGCTGATTTCTACCAGGCAGCTCAGATGATTTTCCACCATCAAACCTCCAAAGTCTTGCTCAAGGAGACCACCCAGAAATCTTCCCAGGTGGCCGCGCGGATGAATGAGTTTGCCTCTCAAGTCCGCCAGTTGATGCTTGACGACAATGGCACTCAGCTGGCAGAAGCCTTGTTCATAGTGAATCAAGAGCACCAGAAGCAATTTCAAATGCTCAAGAATTCGCAAAGACAAGTCCAAGTCTTTCAGCAACTGATAGACCAATCTAGGATCCCCGATTTGCTAGCCCTGGCCCTACCTGAACAGAATAAAACTGGGTAGGACAGGCATACGGGGCCAAGTTTTCGGTGTTGCTTGTGGTACGAGCGCACAGAAACTTGGTTTGTGAGATTAGGCGCTGCCGCTGCCTTTCGTGAAGGTGCATGTTGGCGCCAGTTTTGTTGACCTCACACAGAGTATAAAGAGGCTTAGCCGGAGATGTTGATATCAGGAATCAAAGAAAACCAGCTCGAGATTGTGACCACCCCTATCTTGCAGCAGAGGCCATGTGCCACTTCCTTGTTCGGTGAGATGCAATAAGGTGACGCAGCTGGACGACATTCAAAGCCTCGGGTGCCCGGGTGAAAGGAGGAAGCAATCAAGGAGTCAATGAGTGTCAAGACTTGCTGATCATTCTGCAAGCCGCTAAAGACAACAAAGATATTGCGACATCCTCACTGTTTGCACACAAACTTGACCTAGAGCGTGATTCGCATGTTCTCACGTTGATCTTGGTAGGGCCAGGTCAGGGAGTGTTGGCGCGCTGAGTTTCCTGAGGCAGCACCTTTGTCTTGAATGTCTCCTCCGCAGGTGCGCCACCATGAGTTTTTGAGGCATCACAGTCTGGTAGAAAGAAAGTAATTGCATTTGAAGAGAATCCAAACCAACTACCACACACTTAAAACTCAAAGAAAGCCTGCTTGACCAACTACATCATATATGGTAAGAAATTGACTTGAAGCTGGAGGCAACGCAAAGCAGCTTCCTTAGCGGATCCGAGAGGTCGGTTTACACATACACCCTTTTCCAAACCAGCAGGTCAGAGGCTGGTGTTTGCGATAGCCTCCAACCTAGTAGCAATGGCCTCAAACCTATTAGCGATGGCCTCCAACCTAGTAGCGATGGTCTCCAACCTAATAGCAATGGCCTCCAACCTAATAGCGATGGCCTCCA